TGGAAGCGACCAATATGACTGTTACTTGAAGAATAGATGAAAAAGTCGTGGTGTTTCTATTCAATGAACTATTACTCAGCTATAAAGAATGATAAACTGAAAGCCCTCATATATAGGTGGATGCCACTTGAGGATGTACTCATAAGTGAAATAAATCAGACCCATATGTGTAAATAGCATATAGTCTCCCTTGTTAAGAACTCAAAGGGCCAGGGAGATGGCTCAGTGGAATAAGTGCTTCCCTGACAAGCGCAAGGGCCTGAGTTCAATCCCCGGAAAAAAAAAAAAAAAAAAAAAAAACACCTCAAAAGAAGAAACAAAAATTGAAGTAACACAATAAAATGGAAAGCAAGAATTTAATGATTAAACAATGAAGAATGGACAAGGAGAACCTAGGAAACAAGGCAGGGGCAAAAACATACATCTATATACACAAGATGGTTAAGGCAATGATCCTGACAATATTCATCGGATTTTTGAAACTAGCAGATAATTGGTAAGACTCTCACCCTGACTATGTATGCTGATACCTGTTAACTAAACAAATGCACTGAGATGTAACACTAGGGTCATGTTTGGAATGCCTGTCATTCTGGTCTTCTAAAGGTGTACTGCTTCTAATGTCATAACAACTACTGCTATACTCTCTCTCAAGTAAATATTAGTTTAAAAAATAGTGAGAAAAGAAGAGGTAAAAACAAATGCCATAGGATTGTCCTGCTACAATGTTGTTTATGGTTAGACTTCTAAATTCCTATGTAAAAATATACAATTGTTTATTTGGGTTGTTTTTACTATTTTTTGGGGGGTTGCAATCTATAGGGATTTCAACTTTAGCATATAAACTATTGATCTAAAATACATGTTCCATATTATGCCTAAGGCATTGATATTCAGGCATAAAGAGACATTAAGCTCAACTTCTTATGTTATAGGGTAATTATATCATTAAGCTTTATTTCTGAAGGGTTAACAACTTAAGTTTACATACCAAAAAATTAGAGGAAAAGAGTGGCTATAAGGATATCCAATATTTTGTGCCCAAAATTTCAAGGTCAGTGAGTACAGAAGACATAAGGGAACCTGTAGTGCACCATTCTGTAACTCAGTGGTGTCCCAAATTTTCTATTCAAGGAGATTATGGGTCCATAGATAAAAGTGATCAATGATGTAGAGTGTCCCCAAGGAGAGTCTTCTAGAGAGAAAACATTCTCTCAGGCTTTCACAGAGAGCAAATTGGTCAAATTATTTCCATGACTCACTCACATGGCTGATACTGACAAAGGATCTACAAACTGCAGTACATGATTTTAGGTTGAAATCTGAGGTGATTTAACTGACCCTGTCAGATACAAAAGGTATGCTTTTTATTATATAGGTCTTGCTTTATCTTGATCCTAACCATCCATCAGAAATGTATAAACACGAGATATAAAATATAAAGCCATATCAATATGCTCAGCTGTAAAAGGTTCAATTCAACAACTTTTGATATTTACAGTTCTGCGGATAACCTACTACTGTTATGGACTAGTGTATTATATTCAATTTTTTTGCTGAATTCACGCACCTAAAATTTTTGAATGGAAATGGAATACACATCTCTGATAAAAGTAAACAAAAAATGGGATACAAATGAAGGACCATTTTGTATGTGTATATACAAAATAGTTAATATAGATATACAGCTCCTTTCTCTTAATTCAATGAGAAGAAAGATTTTTACTAATAATGTCTAGAAGAGATATCATGTCTCCATTTTGTACTATGAGTAACTACTATTAAGACAACAATATGCAATGTATTAGTTATTACAACTGTCATACTAACCTGTTTTGAAACTGTCTCATTGCTATTTCTCTCTCAATAAAATTAATTACAAAATAATGTGGAAAATTAAGGGCAAATAAATTTTAAAAATACAAAAGTATTTACATAGTCGTAATTATATGCCAAATGCACCTTAATTTTTTTTAATGTTCATGACAATATTAGGCAACATTTCTTTTATTACTGTGAACTTATATCTTATAGCACCATAGACTAAGATCAACATGTCTATGCAGCATACTGAAATGTATACAAGCATATAGGATAACTTAATTCTAATCTTTAGTCTCTGACAACTGATCCAAATTGTTATATACTACCAGCATAAAATTAAAAAAAACTCTCTCTTTACAAACAACTCCAATCTCCATGAACATCTCAACTCACTAAAATGTGTGCCTCCCTTAAAAGCAGATTATAGTTCACTAAATGTGTGTAGAATTAAGAAATTTTTGACTATTTGTGCTTTATTGACTTTAATTAACACAAAAGTCATTTGTTTTCAACTGACACACATATCATAGAAGTTATCCTTATTAATGAAGTACCATGCAATGGTTTAGTACATTCATGCAGCATAATATTTACTTCAGGATGATCATATTGATCCCCTCAAACATTCATCATTTCTTTGTGGAGAAATCTTTTAAAGTCCCTTTATCTTTTTGAAATCCATATATATTTTGTTCTTTATGGTCACTCTGCTATACAATAGCACACCAGAGCTTCCTGATCCTGTCTCACTGCAACTCAGTATCCAGGGGTCATATTTCTCTGTCCGCTCTTGATGCCCCTCCTCAGCTTTCAGAACTTTTGATTTATTTTCCATTAATGAGATAACATTGAAAAATAACTTCCTATACTCTTATGAAGTAAATAATTAAAGCATTACACTATGTTTGGAAAAAAGAAAAAATCAGTAAGTTAATTGCCAAAACCAACAATATTCCCCAGAAACACAGGTCACACATAATTGATCATGCCATTTTTGAGATTCACAGCTTTTCATATAGGTCTTTTTTTCTAAAAAGAGTATAAAATAAACCAGTAGTTGTACAGCATATTTACACTCCCAAGAAAATGAAGTACATTCTCTCCTCAATTAAAAAAATAATTACTTTCTAACAATACATAAATAGA